GTCTCCCTTCACCCACTTTTCTGTTGTCTGTCCCCCAGGGGTTATATGTAGATCCTTGTGATCAGTTCCCCCTTTCTACCCCCTTCCCCTTTGCCTCCTGGTATTGCTACTCTCATTATTGGTCCTGAGGGGTTTATCTGTCCTGGATTCCCTGTGTTTTCAATTCTTATCTGTACCAGTGTACATACATCCTCTGGTCTAGCCGGATTTGTAAGGTAAAATTGGGATCGTGATTATGAGGTGGGAAGAAGCATTAAAGAACTAGAGGAAAGTTGTATGTTTCATAGGTGCTGTACTGTATCCTGACTGACTGACCAGAAGCACACCAGCCTGGGTGATCACAAAGTGTCAATAGGATCAGGTATCAGGCATCAAAGAACAAAAAATCATTTCACTGTAAATGATGGGGAGTGCAGAGTGGAGACCCATAGCCCCTGTGTAGGTAACAGGACATAAGGGTTGCAGAGTATAATTCTTTATGGGAATAGAAAGCCTCTTGTCTTTCTCCTGAGGAGTGGCTGGTGGTTTTGAACTGTTGACCTTGTGACTAGCAGTTGGAATCGACTATGTTGGCAGTGAGTTTGGAGGTATTTATGTATTGATCTTTGAATATGAAGAAAGGAATCCTGGTCAGGCTGTAAGTTAGACCCTTTGCTGCTAACCACGAAGCTGTGTGTTCATACTCACCAAGCCACTCTTCCAGAGCAAGCTGAGGCTGTCTGCTCCCTCCAAGATGTGTAAGGCCTAGATCAGCTCGTTGTGAGTTGGAATCAACTCAATGGCAGCGGGTTTGACTTTGGCAGTTTTGGTTTAATAGGGGAATCATGCTGGTGGTTTCTGTAAGCAGTATGACTGCATCCTGCTACAAGGTAGTTCTGAGGACAGGGATATGTAGTAGGGCCCAATAGAATCCAACTCAATCAAGGACTTTGAGAAAAGTCAGTCGCAACCACATGCTGTCCCACCGATTTTTGTTCTGTCTATCACTTTGTGGCAGGAGATGCCTGTCCTGTTGCAGGGGTGCTACCAAGATGATGTTTTCAAAGAAATAAAAATTGAGAGGGACAACTATATCATCTAACTCAGCATTTTTATGAGCTATCATTGTTACTTAGGCGCCCTGGTGGCATAGTGGTGATGATTTGGACTGGTAATGCCAATTGTAGTAGTTAGAAACCACCTGCCACCCGAAGGTAGAAAGATGAGGCATTCTACTTCCAGAAACAGCTATGGTGCTGGGAACTCACAGGGCGGTTCTAACCTGCCCTGAAGGATTACTAGGGGCCAGAATCGACTCAGAGGCAGTCAGTTTTCTCATAAAGTTATATCTCTTCTTAGCAGCAGATGCTTGACAACAGACCAATTTGTGGGTGCAATGGAGTGGTTATAATGTAAAGTGGATAGTGGGAAGCTCTTAGGAAGGAAAATCTGCATGTTGTCTTGTTGGGAGTTAAACAGTCTGGAATAAAGGAACAAGGCCAGGCCATCAGGGAGTAGAAGAAGCTGAGCAACCTCGGATTTGCCTTCACATGCACTCTGGTGTCTCAGTGCTCGTGGAGAGTGCTGCTTTCAACTAAGGAGTTTCTAGGTGGAGCAAGAACTTACGCTCAGCTCAAGTTTGGTAGTTCAAGTTTCGAATCCATCCAGAGGTGCCTTAAAACAAAACAGAACAAAAGCCCAGTAAGCTCCTACGTCCCCCAAACATCAGCCTTTGAAAACTCTATGAAACATAATCGGTTGACTTTTCAAATAAGCTTGAGAAACACAACTTATTCTGTTCCTTCTCTTGCAATTTCACAATGTGTATTAGCTTATTCAAAACATGGACAATTTCTGCAGTAAATACAATATGTTTCTGTAACTTCATTAACCTCAAACACCTTGGATCATAGGCCCCTTTCTCCCTGCCAAGTCATGGTAGCAGAGTCCAACCAGAGAAGGAGGGCCAGGTGAGCCTTGGTGCGTGGAAGTCTCTGCTTCAGAGTCCTTGGATAGCCTTTATTCCTGGGCAGTGACAGTTGTGGCTATACAGGAAGCCTTACTGATATCCAGAGAATCAGGTCAATGGGTCATCCTATATTCCAGATTATTAAAATCCTCCTTTAATGAGATCACCTGTTGATGAGCATTCACATGGGACAAAAATCTCTTCACATTCTGTAGTGGCTCAGAGAAGTCTGTGCACAGATCTCTTCTCCCTGCTTACTTTCCAAGTGTGCACCTGTGTTAGGCAGGGTTCTCTAGAAAAGAGACCAGGACACTTGCGATTTTATATATAAATAAGAGGATAGGTTTCTACAGCGAGAAGGAATCTAACAGTCAATTAGTCCACACAGCGGTACAGACAGTTCAGTTCAATTCACTTCTGTGGAACAGTTAATATACTGTACGTCCTTCAACTCACATGGGCTGCCGGGTCCATGGTCAAGAAAGCAGACAGCAGAGTCCTCCCTGGGCAAGGCAAGCAGAGTCTGCCCACAGGCAACATGCAGCAAGGTGGGTCACCAACAGTCAGTGGCTCAGGAGCTTAGCAAAGAAGGCCTGGATGGGATGTCAAATGCAAGCAATGCAAGATGACAGGATCCACCAGCCTCAAGCTCCAGTGATGGTCACAGCAGCAGCGTGGTGAAGCAGGTCTCAAAGGAGCCTCAAACTCTAGTGACACCATCCACGGGCTGGCCTCGCCCACAGGTGGTGTAGCTCACAGGTTGAGGCAGAGAACTTAGTTACAGCAGCAGTGGGATCTCTCCAGCATGCTCCAATCACCAGAGAGCAAGAGAGACCGGGGGGTGGGCCTTGCAGAGTCATTGATCTCTTTGCCCTCCAATCAAATTGCAACCTGATTAATCCCACATGTTCCTATTGGCCAGGCACCTTGCAAGTCCCTTTCCATCCAGCCCACACTATTATAGTCTATGGAACAGTGCAGACTCTAGGCCATCACTCTTTGCAAGCAAGGTGAGCAACAGTTTTACTACTTTAAGCTTTGCTTATAGTGAAGGATTATCTGCACTGCCATCCTTCAGGACTGTGTCCGAGTGAGATATAGTGCTACAACTGTATGATTTTGTATGTATAGTGCTACAACTGTATGGTGTTGGCATATTATACAGAACCATTCATAAACCAAGTCTGCATCTTCAGGTCATAGGAGAGTGCCCATGAAGTCATATACGAAAGTTTATCTATAGAAGGCTGATGGGCATCTGTGCCATCTTAAGCCTGTTTTTATACACTTCTGTTTGATTTTGTACTTGTTGTACATGTGCAACATAGGGCTCTATGGATCACACAATAACTAGTTCAGAATAATGACCTCTGATCATATGGCAAACTGGGGACCACTGTCAAGCATTCAGTCATTGGCCTAGTAGCAAACCAAAAATGATTTCTTTAAAGTAGAACAATTATCTTCGTAGTATGTCACGTGCTTACACCACAGTTCCAAGAGTTTGTACCGTAATTCACCTGTGGGGGCTAATCAGAGGTTCCAGACAGCATCTCTACCTGCCATTGAACCCCTTTGACATTTTTAATCAAGGTATGTATAGTAGCTGCTACCTCTTACTCAATAGGTGCAATCAACATAATTTTTTATCAGTGTCACGGAGCACCAGGATATGCTTTGAAAAGAAAAAGTCAATGAAGTGCTCGAGAATCAGATATTCACATTAGGCTCAAGAATTCATTTAGCTCTGTTGTTGTTAGGTACCTTCGAGTTGGCTCTGACTCAGAGTCAACTGTGTCGAACACAATGAAACACTGCCTGGTCCTGAGCCATCCTCACAGTATTTATACTCACGCCCATTGTTGCAGCCATGTCTCACTCCGTATCGCTGAGGGTCTTCCTCTTTATCGCTGCTCTTTTGCTTTACCAAGCGTATATCCTTTTCCAGACACTGGTCTCTCCTGACAGCCTGGCCAAAGTAGATGAGGCGAAGTCTTGCCAGCCTCAAATCTAAGGAGTATTCTGCCTAGACGTCCTCCAAGCAGACTTGCAGATTTTTCTGGTGCTCCATGATCCGTTCAGCACTCCTCCCAAACCCCAACTTAATTCAAATGCATCGATTATTTTCCCATCTTCCATACTTAGCATCCAGATGTCACGTGCATATGAACTGATTGAAAATACTATGGCTTGGCTTAGGCCCACCTGACTCCTCGAAGTGACACCTTTGTTCTGTAACACCTTAAAGAAGTCTGGTGCAGAAGATCTGCCAACGCAATACATTGTTTGCTTTCTTGACTGCTGCTTCCCTGCGCACTGATTGTGGAACCAAGTGAAACAACATATCTGACAGCTTCAACCTTCTTTCTGCTTGTCACGATGCTATCAGTCCAGTTGTGAAGATTTTGTCCCCTTTACCTTGAATTGTAGTTCATACTGAA